TATCTGGTGCAGCCCTGAAGTGGAAATCGAAGATTAGCTAGTTTAAGGCGAACGCCGTGAGGCTTAAAAGACTCAATCAATTAGGAATAGTAGTTTCTTCAAATACTAATGTTTGTAACTAGGAGATATAACAATAACAATATATCTAAAAAGAACATTCAACGGTATTCATATAGTAGTAAAGAAAAATCAATCAAAGTTCTAAATGAATAGACTTGAAGTAACAGAATAAAACTAACAAAACAAGTAATAGAATCTAAATAAGATAAAATAAGTGGTTACTACTAAGGTACTAATCTAGTAGAAACAGTAGTGCAAGGAGATACTAAACTGGGTATTAGCATGACAAAGGGTACAAATAAGGAAAGAATGTAGATCTACTCAATTGAGCACTAACTAGGTAGCAAGAGAAATATGCACTATTAGAAAGAATACTCAGTCGGAGAGTACTAACATCAAGCTAGTTATAATGGTAAAGAATAACTGGATTCTGTACAGTAATAAACATACATAAAAGATAAAGAAATCACCTTTATCTAATAATTAAATTAGAAATAACATATAGGTTTCCTGTTCTTATTTAATGAAATATCAGAGATTAATGTAAACATGATCTTGCTATAGTAATATCTGCAGTATACAGGTTATAATTGAAATATAACCAAGTAAATAAAAATACAATATGTATTATTAAATATATTGAAATGTTATAAAGAAAAGAAATTTCAAGAATTGTCAGGTAGTGGGCCATTAATACAAATAAAGGTAAAATGCAACTAAAGATTTGGTCATCTCATTCCATTATAGTATAACAAGTCAGACTACTAATGGTAGAATTGTTGGAACCTGTAGTACAAGTTGTTCTGACTTTTGAAATACCAGTGAATTTTCCTCAATATAAACTGTTGTTGCTGAAAGATGCAGAGGTATACCTTTAAGCTAAGAATAGAATTTGGAAAGGTATTTAGAACAGGTAGACTGATTAGGACTACCTTTCCAATGACTAATATTGGCCTTCCTATATCGATTGTTAGATATTTATAATGGCTCTAGAGTTTTTAACAAGTAGGATTCTGTTAGAGATACCGGGATCTGATACCTAGAAACCATCCTAAGTGAGGTAATCCTACTCAGAATCGGAATATCTGGTTCCCAACACTCCGCTCTGACCCACTTATGGAGCCCACAGGTCAGCATACATACTTATTTCAATTGTATCTTGTAACTAGAAGGCCACTGAATTTACTATGTAGGAGTACCAGAGTATATGTCACTGCTGTCTATCCAACTGGATTCAGTTTACAGGATATATGTAAGGGGACTTTTGGTAGAGTCAGGGAAGTAGAACGGAGCAAACCTGTCAATTACTCAGAAAGTTACTAGGCCTCAAAGTTGCCACAACTTTGGCAAGCACTATAAGTAATGGGAGAATTTTGTATAAAGAAATGATATTGAATATGAAAGAATCTTTACAACAGACCAATACATTCACATCTATCCTATAATAACTAGAACAGTTTAGAACTCTGAGAAACACTACCACAAAAGTCAATAGACTTCACAGAGTGTTACAACTGAGTCCTGGAATGCATTGTAGTTACGTGAATAATTCTCAATACAAGAACAACAACTGAAACCATGTTACTCAGAGCAAGCAAGGCTTACTGATGGTTGGTCTATCAGCCAACCAAGTAGAATAGCTTCCTGCAAAACAGTTAGAAGTTATACAAAAGATATCGATTGGTTGGATTCGGAGTTATGGAGGTTAAAGGTCAGGTGAACTTGGAAGGTTGAAATTGGTACTAACTTTAACGATAGAACCCGCAGATGAAACTGATCATTTTATCGACAAGGGTGACAATTGGAGCCAACTTAGTTCAACTTGAAAACTAGTCTATAAGTCTAATGACTCTGAAGATCTGATAATAACTATCGGGAATAATATAGTTCCTAGTTATCAATACTTTAATTAGCGAAGAGTGTGTGGTGGTTTTCAGGGTCTCCAAGTATTTGCACTTTTGGAAAATACCTGAAGTTGCAGGTTATAACCAGAAAGGTACCTAGTTTGTATAATAGATGGATGTAGTCCACGAACTCTCAGACGTGGATTATAAATATCAAAATTTCTCTGAAGCATTTAGACATCATCAAATAACAGAGAAGAGACCTTAACAATATAATCTTGTTATTCTGATTCTACTTTACCTAGTTCACTTTACTCGTAGCAGTCATACATGAAACCAGTATATTTTGAGGCTTTTTATGACAATCTCTGTTTATAGAAACAAACCTTAATCAGCTCAGACAATCCTGAATCTATACAGGTTGTCTCCTCCTAACAGATTCATCAAATACTTGTGGTATACATGTATTATTAAGCTATATATAGTGATTAGTTGAACCAGAATTGAGATCTTAGGTGAATAAGATATCATACAATCAGTTAGATACTAGAATATACAATAGTGCATCCCATGATAGCATAGGTCAGAAAGGGTAACCTTGAAGGATGCTTCAATATGGCTCAGAAGCGAGTGTTATGGAAGAAGGGTAAAAAGGTACTGGTGCTGGGAAGGGGCCTAGTCTTCTATGTTTTAGAAGAAAGGTTTAATTTTCCAGTGAGTTTCAGAGATTTTTCTTTTACATGCAATGCCAGGTTGGCATCATGATTTGAAATTGTCTAGGACAGAAAGCTATATTGACTTGATAATTTTTATTGCTAAATTGTTATTGGGGAGTGAGAAGTTTCTTTTGTTATAAGGTTTTTAGGTCATGCTTTAGGGTACTTGCAATAGATTTTCCTGTATTTAGATACGAACAACCCGTGGATTTAACAAAAAAAAAAAGAAAAAAAAAAGAAAAAGAAAGAAAAGTACTGGTACTCAAGTACAGTACGAGTAGGTGTATCGTAGATGCTCCCGTCGGGTGCATCCGACCCGTGATCCCCGCTGCCGCTGCGGGAGCAAAAAGACAAAAAAAAAAGTATTAAGGTTGTGGGGGGGAAGGGGTAACTTAATTCTGTCGGGTATCGGTATGGTGCAGGGCACTCGAAATGGGCCAAAAAGCACGACTACAATCACATATTTAGGGAGATATCGCTTCATGGAAGTGCTCAGAGGATGTTTTATTTTAGTTCTATGCTTTCAGTGAGAGCAATACTGGTATTCGTGAAGGCGGCAGAATTTTGAATTGTATGGTGTTTTGCTTTTCTTCTTGCCTGCTCGCCAAGCTTCCTTTGCATGCTATTATGTAAGCAGAGGGGTTTCCGAACCCAAGCGCAGATATGGCACGGACCATGGATGGCATTCTAAGGGAAGCTGTCCATGTCACCGCCGCGGCCAAACATCCCGGCTCGCTGAAAATGGGGTGTCAAGGGAAACTTCTTGCTCGATGGGTGGCCGTCGTCATCGTTGTGGCCATGGCGTACCGTAAGACGGCGGAATATGGCGCATGAGGGGGAGGAGGGCCGAGGAGGAGGAAAAGTAGTTCCTCCCACACACTACCCATAGCCTTTGGGCCTCGAATTGAGATAGGGCACTGGTTTATATGAGTTAGCCACGTGACTTCTTCTCCTTCCCCGTGCTTCCTCGTCCCCACCGACCAGCTAACGAAAAATAAGGCGAAGCAGTCATACAGAACACGAATTGAGAATGCAGGCTGCTAATAGAGCTCTCAATGCTATGCGTACCGGGAGTGAAAAATGTTTTGGTGCCAGGCAGATTCTCCCTGGACAGTAATTTTTCAGTCTATCTTTGATAGAAGCCTAATGTGTGATGAGTTCAAAAGTCATGTCCCGTGCAATCGTTCGTTCCGGCTTCGGTCGGGTTCTCATCGACATCGAGCATGGCGGAATTGACGACAGGGCAATGCACGAAGCCGTCAGCGGGTGTTGCTGGTTGTGGGGTGAGCCCAATTGTTCGTATTGCAGCCTGCGAGGCCTGGGTGTTCAAACGTATTTCTACATCACAGCCCCCCGGTTTCATCCGTCCTTGGTGGATTAACTATAGAGGTGAAAAGGCGCGCTGGACGCCGGTGCCCATGGGGCTATGGTGCCATTTGTTTCCACGGCCGAGGAGGCTAAGGCTGCTTTGAATTATGCCAAGTTCCCCACCGATGGGAGTTAGAGGATATGTAAGTCCCTTGTACGGTACGTTCTCGCGCCACACACCTCCCGCATGTACAAGGTTGCTAAGTCCTCCAGCCCGATGGGAGCCTTCAACGCCAGTTCTTCAATCGAGTATCTCAAGTCCGCAAATTACAGCATTCTCACAATTGACCAGATCGAGACCAAACAGGCGCTGGATAATGTACGTGGTACTTTGGGTATTGCATGATATCTCATGACTGATGTATTTTATTGGCTTATCAGGTCGATGCAATTGCGGGTGTGGAAGGGGTTGATGTACTCTTTGTGGGACCTTTTGATCTCGGAAATTCGCTCGGGTGTCCGATCATCTCATGAACTCCACCCACCCTGGTCTCCTCCATCACAAAGATTAGGGAAGCCGCAGTGAGGTCTGGGAAGAGAATAGGTATTTTCTGTACCGGTGGTATTCAAGGTATTCTCGGATTCTTGAAGTTGGGGAACTCTCTTGTTAATAATAGTGCAGCTCGTATGTTTACTGAGCAGGGCTTTCACATAGTTTCGGTAGCAGCCGATATGATTGTGACAGGAGGCTTCTTGTCTGCTGCATTGGACAACCCCCGCGGTGCACAGGGAGGTACGGGAATTTCTTCTGGTCCCTATGGACACTAAGTCGAGGAGTCAGAATTGGGAGCAGCAAATTTTGCTTAGCTCGCCCTAATCCGTAACTTCACTGCTTGTCCCCGAAATAAAATGTGACGTCTGAATCATTCACGGCATATTCCACTATCCCGAGCCTCGAAGGTCGGGTTCGTGCCGCCTCAATTATCGCGAGTGGCGAGACAAGTGTTTAAAATCTACGGGACTGTGCTCGAAAATAACATGGCATAATCACAGCAGATCACATAGACATGCCCAAGGGTGTATAAAAGCAATGAAAACCAAGCAATTATGAGAAAAGGGGCGGAAACATGAATTTAATTGCTAGCCATGCCTGATGTTGGTAACTCCATAGTGAATAGTTCGAATGAATAGATGAGCAGAGAAAGGAAAAAAAAACATCCCTTAACTTCGAGATTTAGGAGTAAAACACACAATAACAGCCATGCAAACAGCGCCTGATTGCAAGTGTTGTCTTTGAGAATAATTACTGTTCTCTGGACCGTTCGTTGTCTTTAAAAAGACCTTGTTCCTCGAAGGAGTCAATCAGGGAACGGAGAGGTTCTATATCACGCCGTTCTAGCAGTTCGAAAGCCTAATGTATCACCCATGGTCAATAATTGGGCAGCGTCAAAGATAAATCTGGAGCCCAACCCGTGCAAAGTGGATAAAATGTGCAAAAAAGCTGTTGAAATGGGCTTCTAAGCTCATGTGAACGATTTTTGCAAAGTGAGTGTGGTAGATATGTGCGAAAACGCGAAACATTTGCTTGTAGATGGCCTTGCAGGTGACATAGAAATTTTGTGGAAAGCCACCATCCTTTCCAATCCAAGTCTGACCCGTAGTTCCAGCTGGTGAACCGCTTGCTGAACCTGAAGGAGTGTTCACAGTAGAGGTAGTGGCTGGATTGGCCTTTGTGGGAAATATAGACTCGTCATTGATGCGGTTTGAGATCCATTGGAGAACGTACTCAATGTATGTGGTTGCGGGCAAACGCAATGGCTTCTTGTTCGCATCAAGCCAAGAATAGTCCAAACTTGAGAAGAGGAGGAAAGATAATTAGCTAGATTGTTAAGCATCGGAAGTGGAGCTTGCCATACCCGGGCCCTGCAGACATTGAGGGGCAAGCTTGCGGAGTACAGAACTCCTGCACAACCCCGTAAAACTTGTTCAGCATATCGAAAAACTCAAACACTAAGTTAACGGTAAGCATTAACACAAGTTCGATGAACAAGTACATCCAGAGATAAAGGAAATCGAAGGAGCCTACAGTTGAGAGCTAGCCATTCGCCTTGATCGACATACCGGGGAAGGACAACAATGGTAGAGAAGCTGCCTTTGACAAGCTGGCTTGTGACAAACGGTTTGCAGAGAAAGAGTGGCTTTTGAGTGATTCTCGGGCCGGAGGGAGATCCCGGCATCAGATTTCCGGAAATGGGAATGAAGCTGCCACCACTGTTCCCGCTATTCCCACTGCTCCCACTGGCTCCACCATTTCCACTGTTACCTGATGCTGAGAGTAGGGGCGAAGGTTTAGGCTTATCCGGCTTCTTCCCGCGAAGACCACGACTAAATAAATCAGCCGTAAATTCCAACATATTATATATCTATGATTGTGTGCTGAGTAGTGGAGTAGAATATGAAAAAGGGGAAAATACAAGGAGGAAAAAAGGTGCCCATGAGAACGCCGAAGAGAGGGGAAGGGGGATGACGAGTAACCTACCCGATAGAGCCAAAGAATTGAGACATTTGGAAGACGTGTAAGAAAACTGGGTAAACGAGGGAGCGAGGTATGATTGATAGCTTAGAGGGTTGGAGGTTAGTTTCGTGAGTAGGCAGTCGGCGGTAGTGTGGGAGAATGTTGGGATGGAGGTTGTGGTGCAGGATAGGTAGAGAAGCGAGATAGAGGTATGATAGAAAAGATGGAAGGATTGAGCGAAAATAGAAGATGGTAAGCAAACCACAATCAATCCGGAGGTAGAGCGGACTGGGTGGAGAGCGTGGGAGATGATCAGAGGATAAGGGTGGAAGAAGTGAGGGACGAAGAAGCTGAGAACAAGATTGAAAGCCGGTAGCTACCCAAGTGAATTAGGTCAACCCTAGCGAGGCCATTTGAGTGTTGCGGCGCCCGAACGGGTTGAGGCTCGAGCCCTCCTCACCAGATTGCTGAGGGTAGTCTACATCAGTGGGGATGAATTCGACTCCGGGATCGATCCTCCGGAGATCTACTCAGCCTCACGCTGAGGATGCAGGTAACGGCGTGGTATGCACTTTAACTACTCGAGCGCTTGTATTGGTGGAAATTACTGTTATACTCATCGGTGTATGTATTGCCGGTTTACGACCCAACATAGATCTCCATAACGCTGTGCCATAGCATAGAATGGCTCGGAGTACTTTTGGGAAGTAAACAAGAAGGTGTTGGAATGATAGATAGGATAGGTATTCAGGTATTATACATATTTTCCAGATTATTCCATACCATCCATCAAATCTGGATTATCTAATATCATGTTCTTCCTGAATACCACTTCGCGCAGCAATTCCCATGCTTCCCCTTCCTCAAATCCCCTCTTCACGGGGTCCTCAAACCCCCATGCCTGGGCAACCCGGTCGTACGCAGCCCGTTCCTCCTCCCGTAGCCATCTGAGCCTAAGGGGAGTGCCGACCGCCCAAGTGACTCTGGCCATCTGGTCGTTTGCCGTGGTAACCGCGACAAAACCAAGGCCGGCAGTGAAAGTAATATAAGCCAATATTCCGGCGAATGAAAATCCTAATGCATGGGAATAATCCAGCCTGTCCTGATATCTTGCAAGGATATCTCCAAAGACATATGCAACAGGTGGCATGAGGCTAGCTAGAATTGCCATAGGGGTGGCTTCCCGAATTAACTTTGCACGGCGAAATGCCGGAAGCGCGTATGAGGTATCAATTATATCGAGGCAAAGAGCCATATCTTTAGCTTCAATCGCGATGCTGAGCGCAGCATCGGCAACGTCCCGGGGAACTGCGTTCACGGTTTGGTTGGCATTTGGTGAAATTACTTTCGCGGTACCAGGAGGTATGTATGATTTTCGAGCGTAGAAGGAAAAAACGGCTGGAATAGGTGTAGGGTCCTTGATCACTGATTGAAGTGTAACATAGGCCGAGAGCACTTTTGGAGAAATGAAAGTGGCGGGATGAGAGATAAGTTCGAAAGCTAGGTCTGTAACAGGGGCGAAGACAACCTTATCATGTTCTGAGATATCTTGGGGACAAGATGCGGGAGCAGAGTGAAGTTGAGAAGACCGCACTGGCGGCTGGGGTGAACGGAGTGGGCCAGGGTGGTGGCACTCATCTAGTGATAAGACAGCAGATGTAGGACTGGTTCCGGATATCCGTTGCCTTTTGGGTTTCATCTGAGAATCCACAAAGTCATGGCACGCCGTTAAAACAAGCAGGATTTGAGATTCGGAGGGAGAGTGTTTGTTGAGTGATAGCTGGGTCTGTAAATCGCGGGCAAAGGAAGAAGGTGAATGGGGTCCAGAGTGAGGAAAGGGGGGGCGGACCAAAGTTATCGACTGTTGTCGTCGGGATGAAGGACAAAAAAGACATAGGTAGCGAAGGTTAGGGCCTTGGCGGAAGAGCTGGATTTGAGGTATTGAGAAATGACGTGGTTTCGGTATTCGCCCAAGGTTAAAAGTAAACAAATTGAGCGAAAAGACGGCCGAGAAAGAGGGCCCAGGGCGGGAAACGGTGGATCTCATGATCATATGCGGTGTTTGGATTTTGAGAGAGGATGCAGGGAGCAAATGGCTGTCAGGCGTTCGAGGTAGAGCACTTGGGCCAAGTCTGGACGCTGTGAAAAGCACAGTACAAGTGAGAACACAGCATAGACGAGATTCGCGGAGATAAGGGTTGATTTCGCGGTGAGGGGTTGGTGGGTCATTCGGGAGGCTCAAAGTGCACAGGACAGGAAGGTATCGTACAGTACTAACGTTTCCGACCGTGTTCTTGGCCACCACCTAGATATTAGCCACCCCACCACAACCCCGCAGATAGAGCTTTCAGATCAAATTCCTTGACGAGAACTGAATACCACAAAACAACAGGTATGTCCACAGTTAGAACACGGGAAGAGGCTCTCTCTAGAGCATTTGCTTACCTGAATGAGCATCCAGAAGCAAGTTACCGTTTGGTTGCACACCAGTTCTCGCTAAATCAGACTAGCCTTATAAACCACTATGAGAAATGAACAAGAGCCTCCTGTGATACCTACCAGAGCCATCAAAAGTTTACTCTGGAGGAAGAGGATAGAATAGTGAGATGGGTAATAGAATTGGATGATATGAGAATGCTGCCAAGGGGGTATTTGGTGAGAAAATTGATTCTGGGAAGATTGCAGAGTTGGGGACATTGTGCCAACAATGGAAGTCCACAACTTAGAGAGAGATTTATTGATCGCTTTCGAAAGAGAGATGCAGCACTTAGTAACCACTTTTTACAAGCTGTTAATCTAGAACTAGCACTTGCCAGCTATTCTAAAGTATTAAATCACTTTTTAAACCACCTAATTGAGGTTCGAAGTCAGTACTTTATTCTACCCCAGAATAACTGGAATAATTGAAAAGGGTTTCTTTCTAAGGGTATTGAGTTGAGAAAAGGTTCTCTGTTGTAGTACCAGAGAGAATCCAAGACTAATTCAGGAAGGAGGTAGAGAATAGATTACCTTAGTGGAAGCAATAGGAGCAGGAGGATAGACAATAGCACCTTATATTATCTATAAGTGAGAAGCCCAGTATATGAGATGGTATGATTATGAGGAACAAGAGTAGGCAGCATTTGCTCTCTTGCCAACTGGATAGTCTAATAACTACACATATTGTAAATGACTTTCTGAGTATTTTCATTGTTATACCGAGCCTATAGACCAAGATGCCTATTGGCTATTGCTGATTGATGGTCATAGTTCTTACCTGAGCTATGAATTTGTCTTCTTTGCTCTTCAGTATTATATTCAGCTTCTATGCTTTCTGCCTGATGCTATTCACCTACTCTAGTGCCTCGATGTGGGCATTTTCTCCCAACTTCAGCACTACTATTATTAAGAAGTTAATATATGTTGGAGAAACCATGGTCTACTTGCAGGAATACATAACTGTGACTTTTTTCCTGTGGCAATTTGAGCAGGTATGCGCGCTCTAACTAAAAATAATATTCTGAGTACATTTCGGGCGTCAGGAATTTGGCCAATTAATAGGCCCCGAGTACTTGATGATCTTGCCTAATGAAATCCTAATCCCGCAGTGCCTCAATATACCTGCTACTTACCTCACCCTACTCGCCAGCATGAGTACATTTCAGAGATTGAATGCCTTACACTGCAGTTCTCTGAATCGGCTGAAACCTGCAGCCTTATCCGCCAACTTGCTTCTGCTTCTCATACTTGTGCTCTGGAAGCTTGAGTACTAGCTAAACTCCTCCTCTAAGAAAAGGGAAAGCAACACACAAACAAAACACATTGTCTTATTATTACTAAGGTGAAGGTAATTGAAATTAAAGAGCTTTATCAGCTACGGAAGAAAAGACTAAGAGATGAGGCCAAGGCCTACGACAAGAGGAGAAGGCAAATATGAACTGAGTTGAAAAACCCATCAGCTAAATAGCTAGTGGCTATAATTCATAAGTAAAGCGATGTTGATGGAGAAGTCACAGGAGTGGTGAGGAGTGAGAGCATTGCGATTGAGAAGATGGATGGTACTTTGAACCATGAATAAGACCCCATTAAGCAGACCCTCTACTGCCAGCCATTAGCTCAAATCGCACTTAACATAACAGGAAATCCAAGACCTGCTACTGTAGATTCCCAGAGCTGATGTCTTCTCTAGCTGTTTTTTTTTTCTTCTTCTTCTATATCTCAATATGTCACTCAGTTGTTTTCCTTTTTGGTCTCTTTGCATAGGTAATCGTCTTTTTTGACATTTAAAATTTTATTTAAATGAAATATTATAATGAGTAAAATCTATTTAATATAATATCTCTTTAAAGTTCAGTCCAATGTCATTGGTGTTTGTGAGAATATGAGGCCATAGCTTCTTATTGTCAGGTGGCTAATATCAAAGTGGTTGCCAAAAACATGGTCAGAAATATTAAGTCCAATGTGGTAATAAACTTGATTGTTACTATGGGTGAGAGCCAGCTCACCTGCACAATACTACCAATATCTGCTCCACATGTAAATTATGAGGCTGTGGACAAAATTCACTGCTAGAAACTACAAATAACACCTGCGGGAACTTTGGTATGTTTAAGTAATATTGAATATTATAACAACAAAGGTAGAAGAAAATTTGTTTTAAAAAACACAAGGTAGCATGAGTGGTGAATGTGAATACAGAAAATATATTTATATTCAGTTTGCATCTCTTTCCATTGCTTGAACTGTAAGAGTCTTGTAGGCATACCATAAATATAGCCATTCTAGTCATTCAGCTCGAAATAAGCCTCCTCCTCCTGCACCCTCTATTCATCTTGTGTATAGCTTTGGAAACAATTCTCCTTTGCTGCATTACTTGCTTTGTCATCCTGCATTCATTGTAATAAAATCAAGGTTAGATAATAAAGTGGGTTAGGGGCGAAGCAGAATTCCTAACTACTTATTTGGTTTTATAAGAACTCCTTAGTATTGATAGAGTAATCCCATCATGGAATAGTATTGGGATTGGAATAGAGACGGCGAGGTCTATTGCCCTGAGGGCAACACATAGGGTGGTGTGCACATGTGGGATGTCAGCTACTACAAATTGTATTTAATGAAGCTTCATTCCTTCCCTTCTCTCAAGTTTTCTCTCTGAACCTATCATCAAAGAAACACACTCTCTACTTCAATCATTGTTCCTACTGTGGTGTACTCACACGAGTCCCATTTTCATCGATCAATCATTCCACTGTGCAACAACAATTCCCCATTAGGTTATCAGCTGCAAGTGAGCTGAAGAAAACCTTTTTCCCTGACATTTATTTCTTTTGGTTCTTTTTATCTCAAAAGATTTTTTGACCACCCTTCCTGCCTCTGTCTAATCCACCTACCCAGACCAAGCCCAGCAAAAGAGTTGAATATGAATGAACAAAATAGTCCATCATCTTTAGTTGGGATGAGCTTCCAAAAGCTTGATGGAAGTAACCACAGGATGTGGGTAATGCGGATGACAGACTATCTCTAACCAGAAGGACAGTGAAATCTGACTACCCAGGAAGAGGCAATCCTTACAAGGCTATGGGAGACTGATGTAGACTATGGAACCAAGATAGAGAAGTACCAGGCCCAGAGGAGACGGATGCGGAAAGCGATTGGAACACTCCGTTTGGCCATGACTGATGCCATTGCAGTATCCTGTTATGGTTCAGTTTGGGATACATCGGCAAAGGTTTGGAACGATATAAATTCAACCTATGAGACAACTACCTCCTATGATTCAAATTACCTTCAAAAAGAACTTTACGAATGCAAATTGGAGGACAATTGTTCAGTTCTTGAGTACCTGAACCAGATTCGAGAATTGCGTGATAAGCTTATCATGTATGGGCAACCCCCCAGTCATGCACAACTTATTTTTCACATATTTGAAGGACTTCCTAAAACCTCTGAGTCGAAGACATGGATTATGGTTACCAAAGGCTCTCTCCCCTCACAGACTACTATAACCGAATACTAAAAGTTAAAGTCCCTGCTTATGGGATATGAAGTGGAGCTATGTCAAGAGTAGTCTCTTTCCTCCGGTCAAGCTTTATTTACCAAAAGTAAAAGAAGATATCTCACTTCCCATAGCCAACAGAATCAGATTAACAATTTAAATCAATCCAAGCAATATACAAACCAGCAACTCTCCACTTCCAGTGGAAACTGCCACTACTGTGGAAAGAAAGATTATAAAATAATGAACTGTGGGTAAAAAGAAAAAGAGGATGGGTCAAACGGGGGAAACAGAAGAGGCGAGAATGATACCAGGTAGAGATCAAGGAGAAAAGATCATGCTGGTGTCATGAAAGATCAAGCTTGGCTAAGCAAAGCAGAGGAGGATAGAATGGAGGATGATGAAGAACCAAGTAGGGAGAGCTTGAGAGTTGAAAAAGTGTTCGGAGGAATAGAAGTGAAAAGGAAGATTGAATGCATAGTCGATTCTGGTTGTATAAACCATATGACTGGAGGTCATCAAGTCTTTATTGACAATACCTACACAGCTCTACTAGCAGGACAATATCAGATGAAAACTGTGACTGGAGAACTAGTATCTGCAGGTGGCATTGGAACTGTAGTAGTATATATCTGAACACTAGGATGAGGACAAGAACACCTGTCTGTTAGCAATGTACTCTATGTCCCTGGTACTGTAGAGACTGGCCTACTATCTGTCAGTCA